TTCGTTCTATACTCAAATGCTTTGTCTTCTAGGCTTAAAGATGTTTCTGTAATTTCTGTGGTGTCCAGCGCTTTGTATGGTTTACCAGAGATAAAAGCACCTGCCTCACACCCATTGCTGCATCGATCCAAATTTCAAAAACTTTCATGTGTTTTTGATGATTTTTTTGAGGCCTGCGTGAGTTCAATAAGAACATGCTCTTTTCCTAATTCTGTCAAGTCAAATGCCAAAACCACCTGGAGACTGCATACTCTGGGAGTGGGTGTGGCCTAGTAGGGAAATAGTGGGCACCTCCCTCAGGGTTACCACCCTCACTGGACAGCACGAAACCCAGGCTAGGAACAGGGGGGGCTAGACAGAAAGGCACCTGCCAGTGGGTGTATGGGCTGGATAATAGGTTGGTTGGATTGAACTAGGCTTCAATGTCCATTGACGTGTGCGAGAGCTAAATGGGATGTGGGACAGACTGGACAAGCCTGCGGTGCATATTGGCAAGCATGGGAACCAGGGTAGGGGGCAGAACTGGTAGGGGTTTTGGGGAATCGCCCCAACTAGGCTGCAGCTCCAAATGGTTTGCATGAAGATGGAGTATGAAGTGGGTAGAATTGAGCTGGACTACAACACCCGTTGGTTCACAAGGAAGACAGGGCTGGAAGCCGAACGAACGGACCCGGCAATCGCAACGACCAGCATGTGCATAAGCTGATTGGTGTGACGAACAGTGTTGGAGTCTGTACTAGCAAACTCACTCAAGAATCAGATCTGGGATCAACTCAGATGAAGTTTCTTTGGATATCTCTCCAGCCGAACTGCTGATCTTGGAACCCCAAACATCAGGAGACTGTCAGCCAGTGGACTCTGAGTAGGTTTCATTGCGGTTGGGACGGTGAGATTGGCAGCAATCCAGAACTGATGAACTATCAAAACGGTTTGAGCAGTACCCTTGGAGAGCGCCTCATGTTGGGGATCGGAGATGGGTGGGGCTTTTCCCTTTGTTACTCCCCTAACCCCAGATACAGGGCAAAATGATTATAGTAGTGTGGAAACAATGATATTACCCACTTTCACCCTGTAGCCCTTGACCCTTTGTACCCTAATAAACTAAGGTTATTAAAAAAAAAAAGAATATGCTCTTATCATAACAGGATTTAGTTGGAAACATTGACATTTCTAGATCACTTAAAGAATGCCTTACCTCAAGGTTCCCAGCAGAAAAGCAAGTAAATAAAGCAGCCATTTCCTGGTAAGCTCTAAAACTTCCAAAGATTAAGCACCAATGATTAAAAAAATCTAACTCCTTTTTTGGATTGTCTTTATAACTGAGACTTTTCCAAACTGAGATTGCTATGTGGCAAAGCAAAATGTTGTTACTGTCCTGAATGCAAGTTGCCAGTCACCCAACCACAACACACCTGCTGTTAGATTGTAGCTCTGCTTATTGTTTTTAACATAGAAACCTGAGTTTTATACTCTTACTGATTTGTTTTGTGTTCTCCTTGAGTTTCATGCTTACTGCCTGTCAAAATTCTACAGAAGTACAATTTCTAACAAGATCAGGCTGGCCAGGTATGCTGAAATGATGATTCACGCTCATGGGGCACAATGTAACAATGGGCTCCAGAAAAAATTAGCCTAAAAACCCCTTCTTCCAAAACCTTTGTTGCTTAAAAAGGTATCTGAAAGGCTCCTGTCACTGGTTCTTGGCTGCGAATCACCTCCTCTAGCAACATGGGACCAAATCAGTACACAACCTGAACAAGCCTGTCCTGGATGGGACAAACTGAACCTGGTACAGGATGCCTGATCCCTGATGTAACAACAAAGGGGGAGGTTTAAAAGTTAAGATAGAAGGCCCAGTGCAATAACCTAGCAGCTAAAGTCTTTGCCTTGCAATCACCAGGAGCCCTTATGGGTACCAGTGGCCCTACTTCCCATTTAGCTCCCTGCTTGTAGCCTGGGAAAGCAGTTGAGGCCGGCCCAAGATCTTGGGAACCTGCACACATGTCCACAACAATAGGCAAATGAAAGTGACCAGTGTATATCTAACGGACCACAGTCTGCCCTACAAACAAAAGGAACTCGCCTGGAAACTGCTCATGGATGCAAACAGTTTGGTACT